GTCGTCGACGAGGGAGCCCTTCTGGTTGACGTCTTCGCCAGCACCTCGCGCAGGGCGTGGTTCAGAATGTGAGTGCCCGTGTGATTGTTCCTGATGGGGGATCGGCGCAGCTCGTCGTACTCGCAGATAACCTCGTCTCCGGACGAAAAGAGTGCCAGACTCGATGTAGCCGTGGTGAAGGATGTAGCCTCCGTAACCCTGGACGTCAAGAACCCTTAAACTCAACAGACTCGTCAATGACGAGACGGCCCGTGTCGGCGACCTGGCCACCGGCTTCGGCGTAAAAGTTGGTCTTGTCAAGAATCACGCTGATGGGGGTGTTCTCGGCGATATCTTTGGTAGACTTGACGAAACCCTTGCCGTCGAAAATCAGCTGAACCTTACCCTTGGAGTCGCCCTTGACATACTTGTCGGCGTCGTTGGTCCTCGCAACCTTGTGCTGCTGCTCCAGCTCAGCGATGCCGTGGACATCCAGCTTGGGGAACGTCTCGATCGCAGACTTGACGCTCTTGCTGGCCTCGCGGGCCTTCTCCTGAGCAGCCTTGACCTCTTCGTCATCGATCTGGAGGCCGCGCTCCTCAGCCATGAGCTGGGTGAGGTCCACGGGGAAACCATACTACAACGGTCAGTGAAATGTGGCTTTGGCTACTGCGGGACTGACATACCGTATCGTAGAGCTTCCAAACCTCAGCGCCAGACAGCTTCTTGAGGCCCTTCTTTTCCGCAGCGCCGGCAAACTTCTGGAATTGCGCCTCACCACGGTCGAGAGTCTTGGCAAAAGCCTCCTCTTCCTCGTCAAGGATCTGATTGCGTTAGTTGCCATTACCGCAATCGTCTCTATCATGTGACTCACCTCCTTGATGTCGTTCTGCTTCTTTACGAGCTCGGGGAACTGCTGGCCCATCTCATCGATCAGGGTGGGCAGGACGCGAGAGAAGAAGGTTCCGATCTCGGCGTTCAGGTACTTGCGGGCATAACGCGCACCTCTCCTGAGCACGCGGCGGACGACGTATCCTCGGCCCTCGTTGTTAGGAACGGCACCATCAGCGATGGCGAAACCCAGCATTCGGATGTGATCCGCGCAGGCTCTGTAAACTCATCAGTATACTGAGGCAAACCATCGCGCGATATCTGAGCCATACCTGTAGGCGGTGTCGATGGTCTCCGGGTCCTCGGCACCGTACTTGTCGGTGTAGGCCCTTGTGCCGGTAACCTCCTGAATCTTCTTGAAGTATGGGCTCCAGATGTCGGTGGCATAGTTGGAAGAGACATCCTGCAGAGCGGCGACAAGACGCTCGAAACCCATGCCGGTATCGACGTGTTGGGCGGGGAGAGGGGTCAGGGACTGATCGGCTCTGCGGTCGTAGGCCATCCAGACATTGTTCCAGAGCTGGCAGTTGGGTTAGTGAAGCCCTTCAGCAGCGGTGGGTCCTGTCGTGGACCGGAATACGCACCTCAACAACCATGGGGTCGTCCTTGTTGACAAGGTGGGCGGCATCACGGCCGCCAATCTTGTCGTAGTGCAGCTCAGAGCAGGGACCGCATGGGCCGGTATCACCCATGGACCACCAGTTGTCTGCTTTTGAGCCGGGCAGGATGTGAGACTCTGGCACACCGACGGACTTCCACAGCTCCTTCGACTCCAGATCGGGCTCGAGTCCTTGTGCGGGGTCGCCCTCAAAGTATGTCACGTATAGTCGGTCCTTCTCGAGGCCCAGAGTCTCGGTCATGAACTCCCAGCTGTACTTGATGGCGTCCTTCTTGAAGTAGTCCTGCGGCTGTTAGCGCAGGGTTTGCAGGGTTCGACAGGGCGTAACATACACCAAATGACCAGTTTCCCAACATCTCGAAGAAAGAGCTGGCGCAAAAGTCAGTCGGAATTCAGGAAGGGGGTTGTGGTGCGAGCTGCGCGGTGTCTCACTGGTGGTAGCTGTCGTGGCCGACATCTATCCAAGTTAGCTTCATATCGACCCGTCGCAAGAAAATGGATGGCCTACCCTCCAGATCACTGGCCTTGCCACCGGCACGAATAACTACACCATACAGTCAGCTCGCTTGCCCTGTTCGCGGCGGTTGGGCAAGACGACATGCCCTTCTGCGTATCGGTGGCGCGCTTCAGGCCGTACGTGGGATCGGACTGGGCGATGGTGCCGAGGAAGATGGACTTGAACTGGTTCATGCCGGCATTGGTGAACAGCAGGGTCGGGTCGTTGTGGGGGACAACCGACGAGGAGGGGACGACGGTGTGGCCCCTCTCCTCGAAGAACTTGATGAAGGTCTCGCGGACCTTGGCCGCGGGCCACTTCTGCTCCTCGGCCATGGCGATGGTGGGGTAGTTGCTGGCGGCGCGGGTGCGGGAGGAGGAGGAGTGCAACTGGCGGATGTGGGAGGACAATTGCCTGGTTCGCGATGCTGCGGTTCGTTCTGTGACAGTCGCCGGGGATTCGGGTTTCGGACTGGGTGGCGGGACTTGTCGTGGTGAAGTTGACAGGACGACGATTGTCGTGGTGGTGGTGGGGTGAACGAGAGGGAGGGGGCTTTGGAGGGGTCGCGCCGGGGCACAGGCACAGGCGTGGGCTGGGGCCGGTAGCGTAGAAACTTCTACAAGGAGCGCGATGAGTCAAAGCTGGTACAAAAGCTGAGCTCCCTGCTGCTGCTGCTGCTGCCGACACTGACGCAGGTGCTTGTGCAGTAGCGATTGCCGCGCCCGCGCCATCCCCAACCCCGACCCCACACCGCCTTCATCTGCCAATCCTCGACAGGTACCACCTACAGCGCCTCTTTCAGCGGGCACTCTTTCTGAGTGCCTCTTTCAGCGAAGTCCTTATCGTCACAGGCCGCCTGTACCCTCGTGCGACCAACCGACCGACCGACAAGAACCACTGTCTCGATTAGAATCGTGCCCACCGTATCGCTTCAATCAATCAATCAACGCGCGCACGCGCCTCGGTCGATTGCATCAAAAGAACCGCTTCGTTGTCCGTATCCCCTCTCGGTCGTCTTCTCGAATTGGTGTCTTTTGCTCGTCGCCCCCCCTCCTGGACAGGTTTCGTTCGCCGCGTCTTTGATTGTGCTGGTGTCGAAGGGAAGTGGGCAAGCCCCCTACCACCACGACTCTCTCTATCCCTCTCTGTCTGTCCCCTGAGGCACCAAAATGCTGCTGCACGGAGCGCAATCTCCCCCGCCAGCACCCGTTACCCACCACCAGCCCGACCTGGCCACGCGACCACGGCGCAAGAGGAAAGCCGAGACGCAAGACAACGAGCGCCTCTCGAAGCGATTAAGTCTTCTCAATCTAGGTATGGCATCCCTTTCTCCGAATGCACCACAGGCATCTGCTGACGTGTTTCCCCCCCTTCCAAAGAACAAAATGGCCAGAAGCTCTACGTCCCCGGTTGAAAAACCCCAATGCCCCCAGCCCCTCCCCCGCTTCTCCCCCTGAACCCCAAGAGCGGGGGGCGGGGGGGGGTTTGAAGCCTTCCCCCTGTCCC